GAATGGGGGGGGGGGGGTGTCTATAAGAGCAATTTTGTAGTTGTTTTAATATTAATTTCAACCAAATGAATATTATTTGAGCCAATGAGCCAAACAACCATATATTGTGAAAAAAAATTCATTCAAATAATTAAAGTATCACATTAAAAGACACAAAGTATCAAATAAAATTACAGTTATAGGGTCAAAGACGAAAAGCGTTCTCAAGCATCAAATCAATATGTGTAATACAGCTTTGAATTTATTTATTTATTTATTTTTTAATACATGAAGAAGTGTCCTGTTTAATTCAACAGTTTTTTATATGCAAAAAAAATGTATATACATTTTTACCTTGATTTCCAGAAAACACCCACTAAAATGTCATAACGTGAAACAATCTTGTCAGGCATATTCACCACAAGAATCAATTTATGACATAATAAAAGACTAAATAGTTTTACCCCAAATATTAATTACTTGTTATTTCACATTTTTAAACTTTGCCACTATTCCACTTTGGCAATTTTTCAGCAATAATTTTTTTTGCTCATTGAAAATGCAATAAAATTTAGTATGCTCACTTATTCTTTTATATATTTTAGTATGTACAGGTCAGAATATGTATGTTGTTTCAGTTTTTACATAAATATAAGTGTTACACTAAATGACAATGAAACATTTCACCCACATTTTGAAATTTTATTCTCCCAAAACTTATTTGAAACCTTAAAAGTAGACAATTCACTTGCATTTAATGTGCTTTCTATGTATATAAAATCCCTTTTGTAAAATGTATTTTGATGCAGACATTTAAATGTCTTTGAATAGAACATTTTAGTAATACTGCTTAATTACATACAGATGAAAGTGAAAGTAAAATAGTAGAATGTTTTTATTTATTAGGGTTTATTAAAAAGATTCAAGATATAAAAGACCTTTAGAATATAAAAAATATGAACAAATATTCATTAAAATAATATATTATATATATTATAATAATATTTGCATTTATTCGTTTAAAAGTGTCTGATAAATGAAATAAATAAATGTAATGTAGTTTTTTTTTTAAATAATTGAAATAAGGCATATTAAAAAATCTTCAGGTATTTCAAAGATATCACAACATTATATATAAAAAATTAAAATAAAATAAAATAATAAATAAATAAGCCTTCTCCGTAATGAATGATAAATTGCTAATAAAATCCTCGACTTCAGTCAGCCAGAGGTATACTGATCAATCTGCTCCGGGTGCAGCAGGGATGCTGGAGGCTCACGGCTGTAGGTGGCTGATGATCACACATATAGAGCCGGGAGCTGTGTGTAAGGGTTACTGGGG